GCTGCAGGCTGCTGAGCACAGATTCCAGGGGAAGGAGATGACAGTGGGAGGAATGGCCAGCATTCCAAAAGGGCTGGATTGCACAGAGGGGCAGCATCGCAAGAGTGGGAAGGGCAGTGGAACAATCTGGCCTCCTCCGCAAGAGTTGCATCTGTTATTCAGCCTCTGCTTCAGTGTTCCAGAGACGAGGCTCCCTGCTACGGTGAATCCCCAGTGCTGGACTACTCTAAGCAGATGATGGTTCTTCCTGGTGTTGGTTCTGAACCCTGCCCCTCCTTGTCCACCAGCCTTTCATTCTAGGAGACACAGCCGTCAACTCTGGGAAGACTCTGCAGGGGGCGTATTTCTGAAAATTCTGTTTCCACAGGTAGTGTGAAATTAGCAAAGGAAAATGCTGCTTCTGTCTAGAGAGCTCTTCCACTCTGTATTCTTACTCTCTGAGTCACTGGGTTGACTGCTGATTTCATTGTTGAACTGCAGTTCCTTAACTTGCACATTCATTTATTCAATAAAGATTTGTTTCATGTTTATAATATAATAAGTACTACAGTCAACACTGGGCCTTCAGTGTGACCAAGAGGCACACTGTCTCTGTCCTCAGGGCCCTTGTGGCTGAATGGGATCTTATAAAAATAGTCACACGTGATTCTCACTGTGATGAAAGTGCTGTGAGAGAAAACACAGGGAGCTGTGTGATTGCAGGAGACCAGCCTGGCCTGGGTGAGGATGAATGCCTCTTCTTAGGAAGTGACACGGAAGCTGGAGGACAGGAGCACGAGGGATCAGTCCAAGTGGGCAGTGAGGCGACATCACCAGGACAGGGAGCATCCGCAAGTCCAGGATGCAGGAGGACGTCCGACCCGGCTGAGTAACAAAGAGGATGTCAGCCTGGCTGGGGGTTTAGAGAGCAGCGGGGATTGCAGAGGGCGAGGAGGCTCTGACTCAATCACAGCCTCAGAGCACGACCTGAACAAAGAAAAGACATTTAAAAATTTAAAGCAAGCCAGTGACATGATCATGTTTTTATTAAAAGATTACTGTGCTGGGTGCGGTGGCTCACACCTGTAATTCCAGCACTTTGGGAGGCCAAGGCAGAAGGATCGCTTGAGCCTAAGAGTTCAAGACCAGCCTGGGCAACATGGGGAACCCCTGCTTCTACCAAACAATACACAAAAAAATAATTAGCCAGGTATGATGGTCCACGCCTGTAATCCCACCTACTCGGGGAGGCTAAGGCAAGAGAATCGCTTGAATCCGGGAGGCGGAGGTTGCAGTCAGCTAAGATAGTGCCACTTCACTCCAGCCTGGGCAAGAGAGTGAGCTCCTGTCTTAAAAAAATAAAAATAAAATAAAATCAATTACTCTGTCTGCTCTATAAAGAGTAGGTCAAAGGAAAGGAATAGCGAATGGGACAAAATCAGGTAGAAAGTACTGCCAAAATCCCAAAGACAGACGGTGGCAATTTGGATTAGAGTGGGGAAGTTGGGCAGCAGATTTGGAAAGAAACTGACACATTTTAAGCATACTTCAGGCAGAATTAGAGGACTCCACGATTACACGGAAGGGACTGTGAGAAGTGATTCTTTGCAAGCCATATTTATTGAGATGGAGAGCCCTAATACTGGAGAAGAGTAGTGAGGTCCAGTACGTAAGCTACTCAGAGACACCCAAATGGAAACATCAGGACTCCACATGGGGAAAATGCTGAAGGCCAACGTCTGGAGCACAGTTATGCCTCACTTGATGACAGGAATATATTCTGAGAGATGTGTATGAGGTGATTTTGTCACTGTGTGAACATCATAGAGTGTTCTTGTACACGCCTACATGGTATAGTCTGCAATTCACCTGGGCTCTAAGGCCCAGCCTATTGCTCCGAGGCTACACACCTTTGCAGAATGTGACTGTACTGAATACTGTAGCCAGTTGTAACACAATGGTAGGCGTTTGTGCATCTAAACATTGGTAAGGTACAGTAAAAATACGGTATTACAGTCTTATAGAACCATCATTGTTTATGTGGTGCGTCACTGACCGCAACGTTATTCGATACACAACTGTCATTCTAACTGGACTCCTCAGGATAGCCATTATCTAATTGCTCAGGAGCAAACTGTCTTCTATCGAGACTTTCATAGTGAGTCTAGTTTTGTGCTCTTTTGTAACCAGGCAAATGTGATCATCAAAATGCAAACGATTATTTTGTGAATAAAGCATCTTGCATAAATATGTTTATCTTTGGTGTTTATTGAAATGGAGACAGTGCCACAACTCAGCCGTCATTTTTCACCCTGACACGACAATTTGATTATCCTTTCCTCCCTGCTCATCCCTTTACCTGTTTTCATCTGTCCACATGAGCAAGCTGATGGCGGGCTCTAGAGCCTCCTGAGGGAGCATGTGGTCGTTGTGTGATAGCTTCAGCAGGACACACTTATAATTAGGGCCCCGTCTAGGAAACATGATGCATGCAAGCATTGCTCTGATAATAAATAGTAAGTGACACTTTCAAAAATGGTTGATGAGAAGCCATCTGCTCAGAGCTGCAGTAGAGCAGAAGCCCAGAGCGAGGGCCAGTCCTCAGAGCATGTGCCTGTTGGCTTAGGAGCCCAAAGCCCTTGGAGGCAGAGCAGAAAGGACAAAAACAGCACAGGACAGAGGCAGGCATGAGTTCAAGGCTTCCCAATTCCAGGTCACTCACCTTGTACTCCTCAGCACCTCCTTTCACTTCATCAAAGCCCACAAAAGAGCTTCCCTCTTTTCAGCAGCCGATCTTGAGGGTCTTAGAACTCCCTGGAGTTGGTCCAACACCCAGATTCCCACCTTTTCATTACCCCCAGGACACTTGGAGTCAGCCACCTGGGGTGCACTGGGGAGTTTGCATTCACGGCGACTGAAGGTGATTTGGATGCAGGTGATTCCCAGATGCTTGGTCTTGACTTGAGCATCTGTTTTTCCTTTGTGATGCTAGTCTTGACTGACTGCCAAGATGTAGATGAGCTGTCAAACTCTCTCAGGCCCCCGCTCCCTCCTTCCCCCATTTACCCCTTTTAATTGATTTGGTCTGAAGGTCCCTGGCCTACAGAAACCTTTGACTCATCTTTATCCAAGCTCTGACTGGCCTCACTATGGGATGAGCAGCTTCTCCAAATGGCCACACATCTTTGTGTGCACTGCAAATGAACCTAGAGCCACGGGGTATGGGGGGCCATAGACCAGCTTCACAGGGATGGTGGAACTCAGAAGGGGGCTCCCAAGGCCACCTACTAGTAAGGACGGACATAGGAGCAGAAGTGTGACTGCAGGAGGAGGCCAGGACAGGAGGGCAGGAGATGGGCTAGGGTGTCTCCCTCCCCCCAGACTTTCTGCAGGGTGACAGCCTGGCCTTCAAAGCTCCATAACTTTACCCAGTGGCTCCATTACTGCGCCCCAGTGATGACAGCATTGACTCATCGCAGAGACAAAGTAGCTTCTGTTTTGAAGCTCCAGTGTGTGCGTCCGTGCTGCACAGCCTGGGGGAGGAGCTTTCCCGTCACCTGGGGGGAGCACATGTTGCCTCTGGCCCAGGGTTGACCTTGATGCCATTGCTGGAAGACAAAAGGGCCTTCCGTGACTCAGGGGCCAGTGGAGCACGGTGGTCAGCTTCCGTTCCGGCTCCGGATTTCTAAGTCTTTTCACTGCTCTTCTCTGGAAAGAGTGACCGTTCTGAGGACATCTGCATGTCTGAGGTTTTTCCTGCTGGTCAGACTGTCATTTGGAAATGTCAGCCAGAGCAGCTTCCAGGTGCGAGAGTCTGGTTCCCAGGCTGTCTTCTCCCCGGGAGCCTGGACATCTGCCTGTATCTCAGGCACACACAGCTCTGGACACACAGAGGAGTCAGCAGGAACCGGCTTCTGTGCATCACTCGGTTCCAAACCCTGGTATAGAGGAAAGGCCACATCCAGGCAGAGAGGACAGGGCAGGCAGACAGGCATGCAGACTAGTCCCCTCAAAGTGGTAGTGGGCTGGTGAATGGACCAGTTGACCACCGTCTGAAGTCTGGCACCCATCTTGCTGCTTCAGGTACCAGGAGCCCTTTGGATTGGGGATGTTGACTCACCCTAGTGAAACTCACTAGAAAATAAGAATGGTGTTTTTTTTTTTTTAATTTTAGAATGAGAAATTTAACTGTCAGGTGGACCAGATGTTCACATCGGCCTAACACTTTCCCTCCCTGTGGGCAAGCTATACAGGGAACTAAATATGGAAACATCATTTGGTGGGAATAGGGCTAGAGAACAGAGTTATGTTTTAAGGGAAGCTGGGATTTGTTTTACTTAGGGATGGTGAGACACAAAGAAATGGAAATGACTGTCATGAAGGAAGAAATTCATACTCACAGGTCCTTAGAAACGGGAGGTGTGGCACAGCATGCAGGGTGATGCGGGAAACCCCAGGATCTGTCCAATAGCAGAGGAGGAAGGAAGAAGGGTAGGCGGGGCCTTTATTGTCATCTCCAGTGGAAGGAGAAGGTAAGACAAAGTAAACAGGCTTAGGATGGGCTAGTTTAAATCATTTCAGACTCTGGTGCGCAGGGGCTGTCACTGGTTGCCTGGTACCTGGCCCTGGGATGATTAGGGGAGGGGATAGTGGCCCAGGGTGTGAGAGCCCCATAGATCGGGTGGTTGGGAGTGTGGGCTCTGGATGGGTTGGTCTGTATTTGAAGGCCATGCTCATGGGTGAGCTGTTAACATCTATCCCCAGAAATTGACCAACCCTAAGAGGGGCAGTCCCTCCAGGGTCAGCAAGAACCGCAGATGTCAAAGCATCAAAAATACAGAATAAAAAGACACAAGGGATTCATACAATATATAATTTATGTATTTATATGTACATCTGAGCGATCTGAATGTTAAAAGAGTAAATGAGTTCATTCCACAAACACTCATCAAATGCCTACAGCACATCAGGGCCTGTGAACAAGTTAGATATATTGTTGCTTTCTAGGCGCTGAGAGTTTAGTGTCAGTCACCGAAATCTCAGGAAGTCCCACCTTCAAATTAAGGATATACTTGACAGGTGGATCCGACGCACTGTTGCCATGCAGAGCCCTTCCTGATGAGCACTGCCCCTGTTTGACTCTGTCTCTCCTTCCACCAACTTTGCATTATTCCTATTCCACCCATTTCTGAGGGATATAGTCCTTACTTACATGGGTTGATGCAACTAATTAAGTCATAAACCATCCTCTCTGGCCTGGTATCCTTTCGAGTTCTTTGAGTGGTTTTTCCTATCTCAGTTCTAATTGGTCCTGTGCTGATTTCATGGTTTCATGGACATTTTTACAAGAACTGTCTTCAGGCTGGTTTCATACATCCTAAGAAAGAAAAATTGGGAAACTGATTGCAATATATGATTTCTTAGTTGAAGCTGTCCCAGAATCACACCAATTCCCACTGTCCCAGGGAATAAATCCTCATCACATTCCCCTAGTATGGCTTTCAGAGGGTACAAGAGAGAAAGACTGGAATAAATCTCCACCTTCAGATGCTGCGGATTTGGAGAACATCCCGAGGAGGCTGTGTGTCTTCAAGAACCTCTAGCAGACACATTTTTTTGTGTACACAGCCCCGTTATCTAAAGAGAGGGCCAATGTTAGCACAGAGCAACATGTGGATTACTTTAGCCTTTGTGAGCTCACATATCCAGTTCTACAATGTGATTTTTAGGTATTTTGTAACTCAAAACACAGTTTGCACTAGGAACATGGTTATAAAAGTCGGGCTCCCAGGCTGGTTCCCCCAAAACGACTTTACTTTTCCAAGGAAATCCAAATTTGGAGATGAACATCTTAACCAAGAAGTATGCAATTACCTGAGCTGAAAATCCCAGAACCAAGCAGCCAGGGGAGTGAGGCCATGAGCACAGAAAGACCCAGGACCACATCAGGGAAGGCCCCTGATCACATACAGAGAAGGTGTCACCATGTGCCACTATCTGCAAACTGGATGTATGATGATGTAAAAACATGAAACATGGGTATCTTCCACGGGGTCAGTCTTACCACAAGGAGGTAAGTCTTGCTTTTAGCTGTTACCACCCACGTTCCTCATCAGCATCACAGTATTTTTTCCTGGGCCCTCCACTCCCTGCTAAATATCAGTTATCATATCAGTTAGGATTGCGTTTGGGCTCGACAAGACAGAAAAGCGCAGATGAGTTTAAATAAGACTTCTTTCTCCATCATGTTAAAAAGTAATTATTGTGGCCAAAAGTGCAGAGCAATCATGGTTCCAGGAAGTCCACCAGCCCCCAGACTCCTCTTCTGTTCAGAGCACGCGCCCCTCATTCCCATCTTCCAGGGAAGTCACCACAGCTCTGGCCACAGCAGGGTGCCCTGGGGCAGCAGGAGGGGTGGCAAGAACAAAGATACCCTCTTTTCCCAGATGGTCTACTCCTTCTGTTTATGTCTCATTGGCCACAACTAACAACAAGAGAACTTTGGAGATAATCTTTCAGCTGGACACCTTGTCAACCAAGTCCAATTAGGACTCTGTCACTTAGGAAGAAGGAGAGAACGTTTGTTGACATGGACAGCCAGTAGTCTCTGCCCCAGGGAACAGGTGATTAAGATTTCTTATGTTAATGTCATTGGCCACAGCTGGGGTAAGAGTAACAGCTGCCATTTATTGAGTGTTTACAATGTTTGTGCAGGGTCCAAAGCTAAGCATTTGAAATACATTCTCTTTTAATTCTCATAGGGATTCTATGAATCAGGCAATTATGATCCCAGTTCCATGATGTGGAAACTGAGGCCCATAGTACACACCAGTGGATCGCAGAGCTGGGATGTGAATTATGTGAATCTCACCTGCTCTGAGGCCTGCGAATGTCTATAACTGATGGCGGCAGCTGTGATATTTCCCAAGATTCGGGCCAGCCTGTGCAGGACAGGGGCTGTCCTGGCTCATGTCAGGAGACGTGCGATCTTCCCATGGCTGAACTTGGGCGTCTCCTTGTTTCACCCTTGACTGGAGCTTGCATTCTTGCTGGGGCAGGGCTGAGTGGAGAATCTGAATTTCTGCAATCCCCTTGTCACAATTTGGCTCTCATGAGCTCACATGGTGCCACCTTGTCAATCCTGTTTTCTTTCTGTGTCTGCCATTAGTGGCTCCATTTACATTGTTCTAGTTCTGGGCAGAGAAAAAGACATGAACAGCAGCATCTGCCAAATGAGAAATGTGCTGCTCTGCTAGCAGAGGGCATGCATCAGAGCTGAAGACGTAACAGGAAACGGAGCTAGGGTGGAGACCAGGAGGGGAGCACTTAGAGGGCGGACGCCGCGTCCTCGGGAGATCCTGTGTCCTTGGCCGTAATGTCCACACCAGTGGAGCACTTAGTGAGAGACTCCAAGATGGTGTTGGAGGTGACCTGGGTGCAATTATTACTAATATCCCTTCCTTGCAGACCGGAGCCTCAGATCAAAGAGATGCAGTCACTGACTCAAGACCATTCATGTGAAAACATGCATGGACTGGATTCTTTCTACCACTCCAGAGATCAGGAGTAAGATCCAGAGTGAGGATCAGAGTCCAGAGTGGGGTCATGGAGACTCAAACATGTTAGTGCAGCCAAGTAGAAACCAACAGACAAGGTCAGTCCAAAGCAGGTTCACGAGTTACTTCCCCTGTGTATTCTCCAGAACATCCAACCCAGGCAGAGACACTTAGAATACAATGAATGTTGGGGAGTATTCTCTGACCACCATTTCTCTGTGACCTTTGGCTTCACTGGGCCTTCACTGATCTTCATTGCTGAATGGAAAAGGAGTGAGTCAGCCTTCCTTTCCCCCAACGGTGTTAACACAATGATCCTAAGAGACTCAGATAATAGCTATGAGCCTGCTGGGAAATTATACTCAGTGAGCTCTTACAATTGGCCACACATTTGAAATATAGTCTTATAATTTCATTCTCACCACAACACCATGAATTTTATGTCATTATGTTAACTTTACCAATGAAAGGCCAGCAGCTCTGAAAGGTTAAACAATTTGTCTAAAGACACACAGCAGAATTAGACTGAAAATAGTTTTTACACTAACGTTCATATAGTTCTCTTTTTTCCTCTTTTCCGCATAGCATTATTATTTTAGTTCATGACAAACCTTGACTGAGCGTCTAGCACATTCTAAGCACTGTAGATACAATGGTCAATAAGATACGATCCCTAGCCTTAAAATAAGATTGCTTATGGATTTATGCAAAGAAGAATAGCTTGGGCCTGGTTTGGTGACTCACATTTGTAATCCCAGCACCTTGGGATGCTGTGGAGGATTGCCTGAGTCCAGGAGTTCAAGGTTGCAGTCCGCTATGACGGTGCCACTGCACTCCAGCCTGGATGACGGAGTGAGACCCTGTTATTTATTTATTTATTTTTTTGAGACCCTGTTCTTAAAAAAAAAATTGTTTGAGCAAAATGATACCATTTTATGAGTGCTGGCAAATGTGTAATCGAGCATGACGGCCTCTGGAAGTTCTCCCTTAACTAACCGAAAACTTACACAACCCATGAGTGAGAACAGGCAGCAAATCCCCGTGCCTCTGGTAGGGTGCAGAGCCAGGTTAGAGGCTGCATTGTGCAGACAGAAGGTTGACCTGAAGCGAACATGTTTGCACAGTCGCCTTGGAAAGGTGCCTGGGGCACTGGCTCTGCCCGAAGCCGGCTGGTGGAAGGAAGAGAGTACCCCAGCTCCCTGTCCCTTCCCACAACCCCTGCTATGGTGTCAAAGGACACAGCCAGCCTGTGAGGAGGAGGGGGCCACACAGGGAGCCTGAGGCCTCACCTGAGGGCCCGCTGCTCTTGCTAATCCAAGTCAGGTACACACCGCCTGCACAGCCTCTGAAACCAGAGAACTGCAAAGTCAAAGCAGCTTAAGTCAAGAAGATTCTTTCTGCCTCTCAAAGGAATAGCAGGGCTGTCTTTGATTCCTCTGTTGAGCTCCAGGTCCAAGGGTGAGGCCCAGCTCCTTCAGGGACTGGGCAGGGGGCTGTCTGTGGGAATCCCTTTTCCAGAGGCTCCGCTGGGCTTCCCAGGGAAGACAGACAGCCTGCCTGGGCACCCCCGGGAGCCGCATTTACTCCCAGCCCGGGCCTGGTCAGGAGGGTGACAGGATCTGCACAGTGTTATTCCTTGAGGCAGTTCCCATCGTTGCAAACATTGCCCAGGGAGTCGTTTGACAGAACAAATAGCAACTGGTCTCCTACGTGAGTTGGGGAGGGCAATTGAGAAGGAAATCTGAGCCAGGGTCTTAGCTCACAAAATTAAACTGGAAGAAACCGTCAGCCTGTTGTCAAGGCTTTTTATGGAGCCCAAGTCCTAGTTGCTAAGTGGCCAGCCCCATGGAGCTTCGCCGCCTCATCTCCCCACTCCTCCCACCCTGTGCAATGGTCAATCTCATGACCCCGCAGAGCTCCGTGGAGACCCTGGCAACAAGAAAGTCAACTCCCAGCGTGGGAATAAGCACTACAGGAGGGAGGGTGGAGGGAGGGTGGGGGGAGGGTGGTAGCAGACTGTGTACACCCAGGACGGACGCGCAGGACAAACCAGATGGCACCGGGGGTTGGTCATTCCCTCTCCCAGCGTCCCAGGCTGACTGCAATGTGGGAGGCTCCTGGGGACAGCGGCACTCCTGCGGGGGCTGCGACCTTGGAGAGTTAGGCTCTGTTTGCCCCTCTCAGCCTTGATTTTGAACGATCGTTCCCTTTCTCAGACTCAGCCACATTCATCTGCCCCAGGGGCCAGCCATGTCTGTAGGTGGATAAACAAGACCTTGAAAGGGAACCGCTTTGAAGGGAAGGAGAAATGGCCAATTTTGAGCAATCAATAGGACAACAACCGGCTTGCAAAAGTTCCAAATGTTTATTAGTTGGCACATAGAAGGAGAGGCGGGCATCCAGGGCATTGTGGTGAGACTGACAGCTCCTTCCTGGAGGAGAAAGTGGATCTGTCATGGTAAACGTCAGGGTCAGCCTTTGGGGCATGGAGCCACTGCAGCATCACGGGGGTGTCATGCTGTGTGGCTGCAGGCATGAAAGTTGTCATGATTTTAGTTTGGGATCTGTGCTTTGTGAATGAAAGCTTATGGAACTGTGCAACACACACAGGGGCTTGCTTGGCCCCACGTGGTCCTTCTGCTGCTGCCTTCCTGGGATGGCGCCTCTGCTGCTGGTTTCCCTGTTCTCTGGTACCAGGTCCCACTTGGCTTCCCTTTTCCCCTCTCTCCGAGCAAACTCTGCCATCTTTCCACCCAGTGGGGGCCTGAGGCCATTGTGGGGACAGGAAAGGCTGGCACACATGCTCCATACGCCTTGACCCAGGACATGGAAGTGTCTGTCCCCAATTCAACATGGTGGCTGCTGGTGATCCAGCATGGGGGAGCTTCTGGTTTACTCCTTATCCAGGAGGTGATCTTGGTCTTGACCCAGAGGTGTCTTCCTTGGGAGGTGCCATGAACGGAATGCTGGTTGTGTGAGAAGGGGAGAGTGCCTGCCTTGCCCCGGCTCAGGGATGGTATGGCAATGGGATGGCTGGGAGAAGGGGGCCCCTCCTAGTAGCAGGACAGGGTCCGCAGGAGCCTGAGATGATCTGTATCCACAGGGAGAAGAAGAAGACTTTAATGTCTTCTATTTTTTTGTTTGTTTGTTTTTTTGTTTGTCTGAGACGAAGTCTTGCTCTGTTGCCAAGCTGGAGTGCAATGGTGCAATCTCAGCTCACTGCAACCTCCGCCGCCTGGGTTCAAGCAATTCCTCTGCCTCAGCCTCCCAAATAGCTGGGACTTTAGGTGTGTGCCATTATGCCTGGCTATATTTTTTTATTGTATTTTAGTAGAGACAGGGTTTCACCATGTTGGCCAGGACGGTCTCAATCTCCTGACCTCATGATCCACCCACCTTGGCCTCCCAAAGTGCTGGGATTACAGGGGTGAACCACTGCGCCTGCCTGGCCATTTTTTTTTTTTTTCTTGAGATGGACTCTGTTGCCAGGCTGGATGGAGTGCAGTGGCACAATCTTGGCTCACTGCAACCTCTGCCTCCTGGGTTCAAGCAATTCTCCTGTCTCAGCCTCCCGAGTAGCTGGGACTACAGGCATGTGCCATCAAGGCCAGCTAATTTTTGTATTTTTTTTAATACAGACGGGTTTCACCATGTTGGTCAGGATGATCTCAATCTCCTGACCTTGTGATCCGCCCGCCTCGGCCTCCCAAAGTGCTGGGATTACAGGCTTGAGCCACCGCGCCCGGCTTCTTTTTTTTTTTTTTTGTAGTTGCAGCTTTCTGGAGGCGCCCCCCCAACTCAAAACTCAGAAATCCAATCTACTTACTTCCCTCCTGTTAATTTGGAGGTGAGTAGATGGAGATTAGTGAGGTGACAAGGCTTGTCAAGACTGCAAGCCTGATAGTGACAGAGGGTCCTTCCAGCTCATAGCTTTTCCCACTACGCCATAGATTACCATATGGTAAGTGAAATCTAATACCCTTTTCCTTTCTTTCTTTTTTTTCTAAAGAAAAAAGAAAAAAAGAATGAAGGAGAGGAAGAAAGAGGAAGAGGAAGAGGAAGAGAGAACAGGGGTATTGCTTTATTGCCCAGGCTAAAATGCAGTCTAAAAATGGGTATTGAAAACCTCTTTTATGCCAATAATTGTGCTTAATAATGGAGACAGGAAGAGATGAGGGAAGAAAATAACAAACAAGAAGCCAACCAATATTTCATTTAAACCTGTTAAATGCTATACAATTACTGAGGAATGATTTACTTCACTTTTAGAGTGGGTGTGATGTGGTACTGATAAGAGTGTATATTTTGTGTATTTGAAGTGGAGAGTTCTATAAATGTTTATTGTTTAGTTGTTTCGGATCTGAGTTCAAGTCC